GGTTTCTGAATTGGTTAAAATCTGTTCTCCTGAAGTGCAGGGTAGTGAGCCTGCTGCGCACCCTCCTTGCTGCCCAAAGGATCTTGAACTCCACCTTTTCATGGTCAATGCTTCCAAAGCTGCCCTTGAGCTTCACACTTCCCACCAGCCCCTCTTTGTTGGTGAGAACAAGATCCAGCATAACACCTCTCCTCTTTGGGTCCTCAATCACTTGGAGAAGGAAGGTGTCATCAATGCATTCTAGGAACCTCCTGCATTGCTTAAGCCCTGCTGTGTTGTCCTTTCAACAGATATCAGGGTGGCTAAAGTCCCCCATGAGGACCTGAGGCTTGTGAACATGAGGCTGCTCCATCTGTCTATAGAGAGCCTCATTCGCTCACTCTTCCTGGCGGGGTGGCCTGTAGCAGACTCCCACTGTAATGTCACCTTACCCTGTCCTCTGTCTCATCCTGACCCCTAAGATATCTGTCAGCTCCTCATTCATCCCCAGGTGGAGCTCCATGCACTCCAGCTGATCACTGACATAGAGGGCAACACCCCCTCCTCATCTTCCCTGCCTGTCTTTCCTAAAGAGTCTGTATCCTTCCATTCCAACACTACACTCATAGGAGCCATTCCACCATGATCTCTGTGATGCCGATCAGGTCACAGCTCTGCAGGTGTGTGCATATCTCTAACTCCTCTTGTTTATTCCCCATACTGCATGTGTTTGTGTAGAGGCATTTAAGCTGGGCCCCGTTTAAGCTGACCTACTGGCTGGATCAGCTGGAATTCCATTTTGACACTCCTCTGGTGCTTTTCTGCTGGCCTGTGATCCTTCTCCAGGCCCTGGGTATCTGTTGGTGGTAGTGGCACCAAACTGGCAGGAGTGAGGGGGATTGAGGTTCCCCTCTCCCGGCAACTTTATTCAAGCATGTAGGTTTCCCTGGTGGGGTGCAGGAGGATCCATCATAGCCATACATGCCCTTGAGGTGGTTGACCTTCTGATTCTCATTATGGAAGTAAGCTAAAGAATATTTCACGCTGTTCTGGTTGGCCTAGCTCATTCCCCAGTTGGGTATGATAGCACAAACATTGCAATTTTGGGCCTCTTTCCTTGAGTCTAGCAGTTTAAAGCCCACTTCACCTAACTGGCCAGTCTGCTCCCAAAGACCCCCTTGCCTTTTCTAGACAGGTGGATTCCATCCCTCCCTAACAAGTTCTAGTCCTCAAAGAATGTCCTATTGTCATAAAAGCCAAAACCCTCGAGACAGCACCAGCCATGTAGTCAGGAGTTGATATGCATTATGCGCCTGTTTCTGGCTGCCCCTTTTCTCCAGCTGGTAAAATGGAGGAAAAGATGACTTTGGCACCAATATTTTCCACTCACACCCCCAGGGCTTTATAGTCTTCTTTGATCTTGCCCAGGTTCTGTCTTGCAGTGTCATTCACACCCACATGAAAGAACAACAGTGGGCAGTCATCTGAGCTTTTGACAAGTTGTGGCACCCTCTCTGCAATACCACAGATCTTGGTTTCTGGTAGCCAGCATACTTCACAGACTGAGATGGTGTGCTCCACCTCTTCAATTTGACCTTTATCTCCTGTAGCCCTGCTCAGGTGATAACCACCAGTGGTGGTTGTGACAGATGCAGCTGGTTGTGATGGCTGCATCCGGTTCAAAGTGGGTTCTGGGGAGACAGATAACAACTCAACAGACAAGGGCTAATTGAAGCAGTGTGCCCACGTAACCACAGTGCTGACCAATGCCCAACTCAACTTGGAAGAAACTAGCACCTGTGGTCAGTATGCAAATATGACTATGAGGCTTTGCTGGGGAGCTATCTTGTGGAGGAGATGAGGGAATACAGCCCCCTATCCCTACCAGGGATCAATGTGGATGGTTTAATTATGCAGGCCCACGAGGTCCTTGTTCACCTTAGTTGAGTTGTTTGATATTACTAAGTAATGCTGTTGGAATACCGTGTGTTTTGAGGAATCTGATCTCATCCTGGTGTAAGAGAAGACAACTTTTGGGTGAGGCAATACTGAAATGGGACTTTCTATATAGTTCACAATCTCTTAGGGAGGGATGGGATCCACCTGTCTAGAAGATGCTGGGCAATCTTTGTCGGCAAGCTGGCTGACCTAGTAAGGTGAGCTTTAAACTGAATGTCTTGGGGGGTGGGGTCCAAAGTAGCAATGCTCAAGCCATTGCAGTAGACTGGGGAATGGGACAGGCCAACTGTCAGAGTGACAGGTCTGCCTTAGCTGCCTCCCATGACTGCAGCCAGAGGGTCAGTCACCTCAAGGGTGTGCAAAACTACAGGGGATCCTTTTGCATCTCCCTGGGGATACCTGTACACTCTCCTCCCTTCTCCTCTCTTAAGTATTTGTACACCAACGTACGCAGCATAAGGAATAAACAGGAAGAACTAGAGACCTGTGTGCGGTCCCTGGGCCAAGACCTCATTGTGATCACGGAGAAATGGTGGGACAGCTTGAATGATTGGAATGCTGTTGTGAGAGACTGAGGGGAAACTGGTAGCCACTTTGTCTCAACCAACCAAGCCAGCAGCTTTAAACAACAGAGATGGGATGTGCTCTGCAAAGATGGGGTAGCATGCTGTTTCTGAGAGTTACAGCAGTTGCTGCTGGACACATCGGTTACTTCAGCAAAACAACAGGGTGTCGAGTTCCAGAACACACAAACACACACAACTCCCACCACTCCCCTGAGGGCTGGTGCTGGGAACAACTGCCCCTGCAAACGCCACTGGCTCCAAAATTTTGAGAAGACCCCACAGCACCTATGCAAGCCCTCGAGGAGGCGGGGGGGAAGTATAAAAGGACGGGGAGTCCAGCCCCAGGTGTACATCCGCTACCTGAGGAACACTTGCAATCAAGATCAAAGCTCTTCACTGGATCCAAGGGTGGTGATACTTTACCTCTCCTCCTCTCTCTTTCTCTTTCCTTGTCTCTCTTCTGCTCTTCTCCCCTTATTGAGTTATACAATACTAGAGTGGCTGCACCTCAAACAAGGACATTCAGGAGTCAAAGATCTTTTCAGAGAGTCAGGAAGCCTAGGGTGGCCCGTAACTCTGGAACAATGCAACACAGTGATTTCTGCTTGTGGTTTGTGTCAAACTACATTAGACAAACATCCCTTGCAGGACCCCCCGTTGCATTTGGGAGATGGGAAAGGTTTGTGGGATACCTGGCAAATCGACTATATAGGGCCTTTTAGATGATCAGAGAGAAAGCAATATGTGCTTGTGGGAGTGGAAGTTGTGTCAGACATAGTGTAAGCAGAAGCAGTTAGCACAAGCCACCAGGGAAAGTACCGTAAAGGGGTTATGAACCTGGTTTAGCTCCTCTCCCAAAACAAAAATAATGAGACCCACTTTACTGCTGTAGTAGTACAAAAGTGGGCAAAAGAAGAAGGAATACAGTGCGTATTACACAAACCCTACTATCCCCAAGCTAATAGGATAGTTGAAAGAACAAATGGGCTCTTAAAATGCTTTCTTAAACCCCATGAACCTGCGTAACTGGGAAGCTCTGACAAAAGTTAATGACCAATGGGGAGTAAATGGGTGTCATAAATTTACTGCTTTTTGTCCAAAACTCTTTTCCATTGTTCCTGAGAAAAGGGAAAAGAAGGACCCCAAAAATCCTCTCCAATACCCTGGCCAACCTGTTATTGTTAACCTACCAACTGTGGGGGAAGTATCACTAGTTTTGACAACCCCTGTCAATATGTATGCGTGGACTACCACAGATGCCCATGGAAAAGAGTATCGGATAAACACCCAATGGATTATGCCTTCCTTCTAACTGGTTCAAAGGAACCAAGTTTTCTCTTTCTGTTTTTCTTACAGGAACAAAAGGAGAGTGAAGAAGAAAAGCAGATGAGGACTTCTTCTCCTTGCTTGCAGAAGATACATGGAAAACTTGATATTCACTATAGTCCTTTGCACTGTTACCTTAATAGCTTTTACTGTATGTATATAAGTTTATCGGAGAAGCTACTTCGGAAGACCCAATATTGTTACAATTTAATTAGTCATGTTGTTTAAGTAGTATTTTTGGCTTTTTTTGGTTAAGATAGCTTTTTTACAGTTTGTAATTGCAAATGAAGATTCTCCCCAAAATGTAGTGTGGGAGTTAATTCAAAGTTTTGTACGAATATGGAACAATATTCCCAATCAGGGAATTTGCATTCCTCTCCCCATGTCTGCTGAGTAAGAGTTGAAATTTCTTGTAACACCAATGACTATATCCATTAACCTAACTACTAGCCAATCATTGTCAAATGCTTACGTCCTTTTCCCCGCATTACTGCACTTTTCCTTAGCGAATGACTTTGTGGAAGAGGTTTACCCTCCTGGTTGGAACAAAATTTTTGGACAAAATGATACCTTTTTTTGCGTATTACAACACCACTAGTGTCACTTACTGAGAACGAAACAACTGTACTATAACTCAACCAGAAATAAATTTCACTTTGGTGAGCATGAATTGAATTTGTGCTGCTGGTCCTTATCGTGTACCTTGTTCCTATTTTCTTTTTGATCCTGACTTTCAACCTTTTAAACAACTTGATTATTATGAAGCAGGCTTTTCTTTAGAAGTTAACTTCCTCTGGTGCATTTCCCTCCCAGATAACATGGGAACTGTGCCTCAGAGTCTTTTATACATTCAATGGATATGGTCAACAGAAAATGGCTCCGCTATTATCCAAAATCAAAGATAGGTAATTCTACTCAGCACACTCTTGAGAGTTTCACTCCTTTTTAGCAGTTCAGGAGAACGTGCCTGCTGTACCCTCTTTATTAATGCTATTTAGAAAGCAAAGTCTAGATGCAAAATATAAGTAACACTGCAGGTTTGTTACTGTCAGGCTCTCTCCATCCATGAAGAAGCATCTCCGCAGCACCAGTCTCATGAGATTCTCAAGTTACAAAGTTTTCCCCATGACCATACTGGGAAATACCTAGAAGAACCTTTAAGTCCCTTACTGCAATTCTTTAAGGTGGCAGGTAGGGTGTTTAAGCTTCTCACATAGCAGGTGCACTCCAGCATCTCCCAGGGCACTAGCACTCAGCTGCAGCTCCAGCAGGGTCTGGTTGGTGCTGAGCACAGTGACCAAGTCCCCACAGCAGGCATCTGTGAGACTGCAACCTCGCAGCCTGCAGGGAAGAAGCACAGAGAGGACTCAGAGTTTCAGATCATGTCTGCTTTGATAATCCCAGCCACAAGCCCCTCTCCTGGACAATCAACACTGAGAATGAAAACCGTGGCTAGAAGTGGCCCATGAAGGACCAGTGCTGGACACACTGTCTATTCCCTGTCCTGGAAATCTGATCTCATCTCCAATCTTTTCTGTTTTTGATCTTCCCTATGGACCCTATAAAGAGAAGATAAACCCATTAGGAAATTCTGGTGATGGATTTTGTGGGTAGTGCTTCCTCTGATGTCACCAGAGCCATAGGGCTGGATGCCACTTCCTAAGAAGGAGTGTCCAGTGCTATGTACCTCAAAGTAACTCAGATACTCTGGTGAGGGTATCTGAAAGAGGTTGCATGGGCTTTACACAAAAGTCTGCAACCTCTCTGAAAGGGTTTGCTGGAGGCCCTGGACTGCATGTGCAAAGTAAGTGTCTAGAAAAGGAACTGTATAACTCACCACATATTGACACATCACCATAGCTGCAGTGTGCTAATGCAGACTTTGTGTATAACTAGAGTGAGAGGACTCAACCTCCAGGTCAGCACTGGGGAAGCTATTGGAAAAAATATCCCTGGGTGTAAGCTGGTTGCCCAGAGAGCGTTTATTTAACAGAAAGATTCAGGGAAAGATTCACTCAGGGAGGAAGACTCCCACTCTAGAATGATGAATCCTTCCAGGAAGAGGGGTTTTTCTTGCACATGAACAGATAATATGTCTGCTTACCTTCAACACATGCTCCTTTGGGCCTGCCTGTGCATACTTGAATGAGCAAGTTCCATGCTGCAGAGGAGGGTGCATGGAGCAGAACCTGCATTACACTGGATTCACACAGTCTTAGAAGGGTAGGCTGGGAGTATGGAGTGAGCACTGACTGATCATGAGAGAAACATATCAGCCACTCTCCATTGCTGCAGCTGTCAGGCCCAGTCACAAGCCCTGTCAAGATCCCAGGCTGGGTAATTCTCTGAGAGGCCTGCTTGCTGTTCCTCACCCCAATCTCTGCAGCTGGTAGGTGGGACGTTTCAGCCCTTCACACAGCAGCCGCACTCCTGGGTCTCCCAGAGTATTTCCACGCAGTTTCAGCTCCATTAGGCATTGGCTGGTGCTGAGCATCACAGCAAGAACCTCACAGCAGGCAGCTGTGAGTTTGCACCACTCCAGCCTGTTAGGGAAATGCACAAAGAAGAGCAAGAACTGCTCTCAGCACTGGTGGGGAACAGATCTGTGCAGTCCAGGACCACAATGTGGGCAGTCCTGCACTCCACCAGAGGCTCAGCACCCCTCAGAAAATGAGAGGCCAAGCTGGAGGCTCTGCCCGCTCACCAGCCAGTGCAGTTGCCTCCCTCAGGCAATCCCCTCTTGGAAGGGCTCAAGCAGAGCTTTGGACCTGCCCTTCTGCCCTAGACACCCAGTAGCATGGGGAGGAAGGGCTCCACAGTCCCATCCCAGCCCTCTCCAGGGACCAGTGCTCCTCTGATCCCACCCACTCCAGTGCTTGGACATTGATGAGGTGGGATCAAATGCAGGAGGCTGTGGCTGCAAGTGTTTATGACTCCCTGCAGGCAAGTGAGTATCCCATTTCTTTCCAGCCCCACACATGCCTTCTGGGCCCTATGCAACCCCCAGCTATCGGTGTCCTCATTCTCCCTCTTCCTACAGGGCTGATACCTACCCTCAGGACTGGACAGGGGCATCTACCAGACCTTGCACAACTAACGTCACTCTCGTCTCTCTTTAAGCATGGGAAGTGGGTCTAGAGGCAGCCTGGGCAGGGATTTCTGGTGCAAAGGAACCTCTGAGGTTCTGAGGTATGAAGATACCTTCAGAAGCCATTGCTGTGCATTCGGTGTCCCTGCTGAGTCTGCCTTAGCTCCCTGCTGATGTTTGTATGTTCTCTAAAGGTGTAGGGGTCTTGGCTTAGCTAGCTGAAGCTAAACAGGCATCTGGGGCAGCAGCCACCATGTGCTCCTCAAGGACTCTGCCAAGGTGCATCTGACTCCTACTGCCACTCTGCACTCCTTGATCTCCTCCTGAAGATCCTGGTTAGCTTTCCAGGGTGAGCTCTTCCTGTCCCAGGAGAGAAACACTTTTCCATATTGCAGAGATCTGACCATCCAGAAGTCCTCTATCCTCTATCCCAGCAATAGTGAGCTACCTGGATACCTCTTCTGAACTCTAGAAAGTCTCTCTGTTTTGACAAGACATGGAAAATCTACTGGAGGGAGTCCCAAAGTATTGTGACGGGGAGAACAGACAAAGAGGAGGGAGACAGAGAGGAAGGAGGCCAAAAGCAGATCTGGTGATAGGACAGCAGCTGGGAGAGTGGGTGCAGTGAGAGAAGCCCTGGTGGGAATGCTCAGGAGCGGACATCCCATGTCTCACACACATTTGAAGGAGACAGATGAATCATACCAGATACACATGTTAAAATGGAATGGTCCCTTCAACAGGAAAGAAGAAGAAACTCTAGTTTAAGGCTTTGGTTTCTCCTTCCAGTGAGGTAAGAGAACGCCAGTTGGCTTGGGCCTTTCCAACATGCTTGTGCAATGAAATGCATTGGATAGTTGGGTGAAATACATTGTGTATGCCCTAGCTTTCTCTCCTCCTATGCCTGGCAGACATGGCCCTTCCCTGGGGTTTTGTTCCTATAAAATCAAGTTACCTCTGTCTAAAAAGGACTGGAAAGAGATGGAGAAGGAAGAATGAGGGGAAAGAAAGGAACAGGAAGGAAATGAGAGGTGAACACTGGAAAAATATGGTCCAACCCAGAAATGTTGTATGGTTTTTTGGGTTTGGTTTCCATTCACAAGCATTTTTAAGATCTACATTTAAATACAAACTGCTCAGATAAAGAGGTGGCTGCACAAGAGATAAGCTGTCTAGGGCTATCATAGTTTTGTGCCTTGCTGACATTCTGAGTTGATACTAAAAGCAGCCCCATGCTGTTTCCAGTAAAGAGAGGAAAACAGTCACTAGACCTATACCTTCCATTCTCTGTCACTTTTTATTTACAATCTCAAGCAAAAAGTCAGTAAACAGCCAACTAAAGACAAAGAGAGGGAAATATGTCAGTTTCCCTTTTTTTTTTTGTCCTAAATCTTAATTTGGAGCCAGGTAGAAGCTGATATAATTATATTTTTATACATTTAACTCAAATGTGACTGAATTTACATAGGGAAAAGTATCTTCAAAATACTCTCATTCCTAAATCTTTTCTGTACTTCAATAGTTTCCCATAACTACTTTGTCATATCGGTCTCCCTCAATTTGTTACTGGTATCAGTGATTTGTACCAAAACCATCTCACTGAACTGAGGACAATTCAGCATTTCCAAAAACTCCTGAAAAACATTAGTGCTTTCATAGGAATGTCAATAAAGACAGTTGTTCTATCAGAGTGGAGGAGGGAGGAAAAATATAAAGGCTAGGGGTTTTTTGACTTCTTTTATTTTCTGAAAGAAAATAACCTTTTACCTTAAGATCTTTAATGTGCAGTTTGGATTCTTCAGGGCTTGACAAAACAAGTGAATAGGTGATCACTTCAGGAAAATAGGTGATTGCTTTTCCCTGAAAACAAAAAAGCAAACAAACAAAAACAAAAGCCGAGATTAATTTAATATCGTTCTCTGGCTATAGTTTGCATTTATGCTTCACAAAAATTAAAGTAGTGCCCTTGCAAGCGTGATGTTAAATGGCAGAATATTCAACAGTCACAGTTCAAAGCAAATCAGCTTGGTAAACACATATAATACCTCACCAGGGTCTGAGTCATGGCTACTTGGAAAGCTCCAGATAACCCTGTGCACTGTATGTACTAAAGGGAGCTATGTGAGTGGAGTCTGTTTACTCATGGTGCCTTTGTGATATGTCTCAAGGAAATGTTCAGTGTTCTGAAATTCACAAATCCAAGCAAATACTATTTGGTTAAGGGTACATTATAGACACCACAACAAGTCTTCTTCCTTAAAATAGAAGGAGCTGTCCCATACAGATAGGGATCTTCCATTTGTAGTAACAGGAGGGCTAAGCAAAATTTCTTTCTGTTGGCATGCTACAGAACAGAAAGCCATAGGGTTAGAGAAGCCCAGAAAACTGTGATCCTTGGATTATTGCAGTAACTTTCTGTGAAGTCCTGCCTGCACAGTAAAACACACCTGTGCAGATTTGGATTCTGTTCCCAGACAGCTGAGACATGCCCCCAGAGTTACTCTGGACTGCTAGTGCTGTCTGCCCCTTCTGTAACACTGATTCTCAGAGTGCTGCTGCCTCCATAAAAAGCACCTCGTTAAGCACTTCACAGGTATCACATAGCTCTAAGAAGAACAAATGTGCTTGCCCAGAACTTCATCTCGTTGTAGCTGTTTTGCTTCTGATACCTCACCAAGCTGAGTTCATTCTCTACCTTATAGCTTCATGTGGTTACAGAAATACATGGAGGAAAAGAATGGGAAAAGCAGATTAATATCACATATTACACATGGTAGTTGAGCTCTAAACATTCAGAGCATTCCCCCTAAACATGTAAACTAGGTCTATACCCATAAACCAAAAATCAACAATATGTTATGTTTTGCTGTGCACAAAGGACCTATATTTGTAATGCCTACAAGGGGGAAATCTCCCTTTAGGTTTCACTGGGTACCACCCCTTGCTTTCTCAGCATCAAGCATTTGGTAAACAGCCTCAGCAAAGTTGTTGTACCCACCTTAACTGAAGATCAGAATGATGTGTAGGAAGGGGTTCTGTTCTTAGGGACTTGTCAGGGTCACTAGAGACCTGAATGGGCTGCTTCCTCCCTACTTTTGAAACCTGTTGACACAGTGAAAACTTCTTTTCAGTTCTTTGATTTCAAGAACACCAACAATTAATAGGAGAGCAAGTAGAAAGCAAACCCTGTGTGGGATTGCATTTATATGGAATTGTATTTGAGACTAATATGTCCTAAGTCAGTGTGTACAAGGAAGACAGACAGTTCAGTAGTTCCACCACAGTCAATAGCTTTCTTGGAAGTCCAGTCAGTGGTGACTACAGAATGATCTCTGTTGACTAGCCAGTAGGTGTCTTATCTGAATGTTAGATGGCTTGAACTCTGATCTTTGAACACAATGGGGACGTAGCTACTCAGCTATGTAAACACTCATGTGTTTGCATGCTTACTCTCGAACTGACTCACATCAGTAGTAACTACTAAAGCAACATCTCATTAGGCCCATCACAAAGCAGCTTCTATCATCACACCATTTTATGAAAAGTTTAGCCTTAACTTTTTATAAGTAAGCCAGTCATTTCTTGGTTACTGAAACTCTTCCAGTTCCTAAGAGAATTTGCAAGCTAGGGATCCAGGATTTTACTTACAGATGTGAAAGTTTGGCTAACTGTTCTAAATGTTCTTCAAGGAGCAATAGGCAATGTCAAGTGACTCCAGTTTAGGCCACTTTTCTTATACTGAATGAAAGAACTATTTGATCTAATTGGGTGAAATTGATGCCTTGTAGGTGTATTCCAGTGAAATAACTCAATGCAGTTTTCACAAAACTTTCATCGTGGATTTCATACAAACAATGACAAGCCTCCAAATCATGAATCACTGCTCATTTTTCTGCATTAACAGCTAAAGCTGGTTTTTTGCTACTTTGAAGCCACATCAGTAATTCTTCCTTAAATTTCAGGAGAAATTTTGCACCCTGTTTCTTTTTCCAGAGCATTTCTTTGTTCCTCATTTAAGAGACCAAATAGGAACCACACAGTTAACACGAAATTATGTCTTGAGTTTCCATAGTGTTCTAACATTTTTTTCACATCCGTCTTAGGATCTTCTTGCTTATCTCTTATTTTGTTATCATCTTCAAGTACATAGAACAGAGATGCAAAAAATCTTGGACACTTAGCTGAATGATGCTCTAGGCACCCCCACAACCAATGCCCTTCTGAAAAGTGCTCTCATTCAAAAAAAGAAGGAGAATGTCTCTCTTAACAAGAATTCATTGATTGCCTCCTCCCCAAAGAGGACTCTGCTTTCAGATCCCATCAGCAGCCAGGCAACAAATTATTTTCAGTATAATGTGCAAGTTCTGTTTCAACTTGCTGCACAGGGATTTTAGTAGGCTGGAAACATAAAGGATATATATTCCTGTAGTTGTCTTGGCAGTTTGTGCAAGATCTTCACCACTTTCAAGCTGTTGTTTCATAACAGTACAGACAATCCAGCACATGATCAGGATAAGGCACATGGTAAAGACTACATAATTTCCTTTAACAAACTGAAAGGCCTTCCTTCCCTCTTCTTTATTTTCAAAAAACTTGTGGAAATATTCCTCCCTATCAGCTGCTGAAAATCCCAGTATTTCAGCAGAGCATTCACTCACCAAGCACTGTTCCGGCTTCTGCAGGGCAGCTAGTCTTGTTGTGATCAACAGTGAGCATTCAGGGAGAAGAATCTTCCTGAATAAACTGCTCAGGATGATTTCCTCTGGCTTCCTCTCCCAGGGATCAGAGCACAGGTCATTTTGTGGCTGTTCCAAAGAAAATCTCAGTTCATCAAAGCCATCAATGACAAACAGGAGTTTTTCTGGTATCCTCAAGATCTCTACAAGAGGTGGATTATCACTGGGGCAGCATTTGGAGATCATGTCAGCTGTACTCCCCTGAGCTGTAAGAAGATTACCCTCCAAACAATGTATGTAGAAAACATAGTCAAACTGTCTGTAAAGTCCTTCTGATGCCCAGTCCAGCATAATCTTTCTTACTGTCATTGACTTCCCAATTCCTGCAGCTCCCAATATCATGACAGTCTTTGGGGTCTTTCTATCCCTGGCAGGTTCAAAAAGATCACTTAAAACAATGGAAGAATTCACTTGTTTCTGCCCTGATTTCATGTTCTTTCTTTTTTCCATGGCAATGTCCACTAACAAGAACCAACCTTGTATATCTGGAGTTCAGAGTCACCGTCTCACCAATACAAGCATTCATGTCTTTTATCCAGTGGTAATTCTTTTGTATATATTCTCTGTACTTCATCTTGTAATCTAAATCAAGGATATGCAATAAAAGAATTTGAAATAAAAGTCACAGTTCATTCTTCTGCTAAAATTGAAACTTTTCAGCTGCAAAATTATTTTACTTTGGGTTTACCTCATGTCTTTCATTTTAAAGTATCATTCAATAGGCCATGTTCTTCCAATTCTAATACCAATGCTGAGATGAAGAAAAGTCTGAAATGACCATCACCTGTCATTGAAATGGAATCATACCTCAGTTGAACTTGAAAATAGTGCTAAGAACTGGTTTCTACTACTGACCTCTATAGCACTACACTTTTTTTTTTCTCCCCCCCCGCCCCCCTCCCCGGCTATATAACAGCTACTTGCTTATTTTCCTTCTGACCCTGATGGGACTTCAGGACTACAGCTATGATCATACACTTCTACACTTTCTACTAGTAGGTGGAGTGTGTAGGCAATAAAACCTAAACACATCTATCACAACAACACATACCTTGGACTAATGAAGCAGGTGGTGGTCTGGACCTCAGGACTGAAAGAGTAATTACATGTAGCTGTTAGTCGAGTAGTACCACAGATGCTGTCAGTGATGTGTGTCAGGCAGGGAGCAGAACAGTCCTCTTGGTCTTTCTGCCTTCAGAAACTCCCCTAAAATACCTTTGGCAAATCAGAGAAGATAAGACAGCAGAGTAAGTGCCTCTAGAGACCCTAGTATCTTTACATGATAGGCCAGAAGCAGGTGGTCCTGCAGAGCATGCAAAGATTGTGGCAGCAATCACCTAAATGAGCAGGAAGACTGATGGTAATGTCACCGAAATTGGGAATAAACTTAACCCCAATGTAGTTTTAAGAAGCAGGCACTTCTTTATTGCAGCGCTGGATGCACAGGGGATCACTCCACCTATCGTGCATATCTGTCAGGGCACGGAGTAAAGTTTATATTATACAAAATCATTATATTTAATCAGAATTATCATGCATATTCAATACAATTACCAGAAATCATTATCATAAAACCCCGCCTCGCTGCACATGCCCATTGAGTCTTGAAATGAGTCCAAGGGCTTCTTTTGCGACCACCACGGACCACCAACTCAAAAGAAAAGACCCTCGAATAACCTTGTTCCAAGGACTTGGCTCAACAGGCTCTTCTCCACATCCCAGTGGTCAGTAAAACAAAGAGTTTTCAAGCTTCCATGGGCATTAGAGTAATAAATTTCAATCCTTGCAACACTACGACATAGATGCATTGTTTCTGATTCTGCTATTGAGTTAATGATTAGAGCAGGCCTAGGACTTTACAGTCCCTTCTTATTATGGTCTTTATGGTTCTCTAGTTTCAAGCTAACAGTCCTAACTCAGACATTTGCTTTATGATTTTATTTCATAATCAAACCCAATTCTTCTGCATAGTTTTGATTATTTCATCTGAATACTTGCAACAGTAAGAGGAGAGTCATGCAATTCCAGGCATAAGGAGGCAGTACCCTGGTGTCCTTTGGGTTTTCAGACTTCCAAAGGGGACTGAAATCTGCTGTCTCTCTATTTGATGAAAGATCTCCTACATATTTTCTAGGAACAATAAAAAACAAGGATACAAAAGTGCAAGTAACCAGAGTTCCTTTACCTTTTTCTTTCTCCTATTTTAGTGTAGCTGCAGTGTATCTTTGGTTGATCTGTTCAAACACATAGATAGCTACATCCATAGCAAGGTCGGCTCCATAGTGGTCACACACGTAGTCTGCAAGTTTAACTGGATCATTGGCTTTCTTGAGCAAGTACTTGGAGAGATTGGACATCTCATCATAATCAATATATAATTTGTACTTAAAACTCTCAAACATAGCCAGCGTATGGTCCTTCAGTGCTTCCAAAAGGAAGTCCTTGGTATTCTCTCTTGCCATTGTAGTATGCTAAAGATACCCTGGAAAACAGCAAAGGTTCAACAACAAATTGTTTTCTGAGAGCCATCAGGGGCACTCTGAGAAGAAACTCTTATTCTTATCCTGACTGTTACAGGGCAGTGGCTGCAATCTGTACGCTCCTGGAGCCAATCTCCATGCCAGCAGAGGCCCTGACAGCTCTCCTGTGTCAACTCTTTCAGGAATCTGTTAGCTCAAAGAACCTGGGTTACTATACCCCTCATTTTACCCACAGTGCTTCCCTGTTTCCAGTTCTGCACTTTCTTGGCCACAGGAGCAGGCAGGTGACGTGCTCCTAGATCAGAGTGGTGGATGGGGCTTTCCCCAAGGGACATGCTTGTATATAGATAAAGTGGATTCCTCAGCCATTCCTTTTTGAGTGGTTGCCAAAACCCTGTGAGGAGTTTTCACATACAGCGAGAAAGTGGCTTATTGAAAAGTGGAATATGGTCTGTGCATTGCTCACAAACACACTTTCCAAAGGGGACATTCCTTCACCCTTTCTTGTGTATGGCTTCATTGCAATGTCAAACTGTGAAAGTTACAGGATTCACTAGGGAAAGTTTGAGCATGAAGATGTAGTCCCACATCTGCACAGCAAATGTATCAGACAAACATTGAGAGGGATGATATGATATTACACTGGAGAAAAAGAGGTCATCCCCACCCTCATTTATTTATACACTACTCTTCACCCTCCATTTACACTGGTTTTGGAGTTACTTTCTGTTGGCTGGACACATTCTGTATTATAAGTACGGCTGAAACCAGTCTCATACAATCCATATCTGTTGAACAAATGAATGTTCACACAGCCCTTGAAGCATTCATTGGGTCTGTTCTGACAATATCGCTGATGGCTTAATTTTCACTCTAAGGATGATCTCTTTTAAAACCCTACTACTTTTTTTTTTCACTTATGACTGTATAGTGCAATTATTTTCTTCACTGTTCCTGAGAACTGGCAAGTATACATAAGTACACTTTCGTTGATTTGTATTATTTCAAAACTAAAAATTCAAATAGCTTTTATGAGATAAAATGGATGATCAGGGAAAGTGTATGAAGGGACATTCTTTAAGTTATAGAAATATGGTCTTGGCTTGTGACAAGCTTGTCTGAGATTCTTCAAAACTATTCAGCAAATACAAGAGGAATAAAACCAGGATCTATTTCTTGGGGTGGGGAAGGTGGGCTGAGAGCGGAAGGGAGGCTCAATTCCTTATATGTATGAAGCAGAAATAATCCCCTGTAGAAAAAGTCTGAGTGAAGTTATGATCAAAACATAACTGGAGGTGCCTAAATACAAGGAGGAAAACAAACAAACAAACAAACAAACCAACAACAACATAAAAAAACAGCCCAAAAGCACATAAGTTGAGGAATATGTCCAAAGAAATTATTAAAATGACTGAAAATGCCCTTTAGAGTTTGCAGAACTGAAGAGGATGAAATGTGATTGTACTTGCACTTTTATGCCTACTAAGGCATCTCTGCAGAATAAAACTCAGCACAATTGAAGCAGTTTATTTGCAGTTTTTACTGAAAGAACTCAAATGGGCCTGAGAAAAATGGGGAGGGTAGGTTTTTTAAGATTATTTTACTACTCCTCTGCCTGTCAAGTAGAGCAGAAGCCTGTAGTTTCATAGTACCTTTACGTTTGCATCAAATAAAAGAAAGGAAGACTAATAAATTATCTCACCATGAGGCAAACATTCTCAAAACTCTATATGCCACACTAAGGAGCACCCTTTCCCCTCCTGCACAGTCCCTCTACTGGCATCTCAGAAAGCCTGTATTTGATGTTTGAAGAGCTAATATTCGGAACAAGTATTAACATAGCTAGGAGCAGACAGAAGGACAGTGTCTTTCTAAGGAGGAACTGTTGCTGACAGCACTCTCTCCAGCACAGCTTCAACCTCCTGAGAGATGAGGATTTCTCTATTCTCTCTCTCCCTAGCCACACCACTAAGCAGAGCATTTCTGTTGTCGTATAGGGCCAGGAAACAAGTAAGCAATTTACAGGTCTGACCCAGAGCACGGGGGCTTGACGCTGCTTCTCCTCAGATGATCTAAGAAGCCTCCATGAGGGCATACTGTCCTGGTTTTGCTAGGATAGAGTTAATTTTCTTCTTAGTAAGTGTCAGAAAAAAATAACAGCCTTCACTTCCACCACCAGGAACTTCTCTTTTTGTCCCTCTATGCTGACTGAGCACTCTCACGGTTTCTGGTCTGAGTGATAATTTTTTTTCATTTCTCCAGAAAAGGAAGGCTTTTCACAGTCCACGTACTGTTAAAGTCCTTTCTGTGAAAAGAATAAAAAAGTCATGCTGTGTCCAGGAAAAGAGCAGACTTCTGACCTACTCCAGTAGGCCTCCATAAACTGACTCATCCATCACAGAGCTAAAACCAGATAAGAAACAGGCAGCCAAAGACTCTGAGACCAATGTATAGTAACCAGTTCAGCAGAGAAAGATGTCTCTGGAAGTGAAAACTTATATCTAGACCAAACCAGACCACAAAAAATCTCAGACCCCCCAACTCCACAGGGCAGCCAAATATAAGTACTGTGGTCAGGCTGAGCAGCTTTGCAGGGAATTCAACGCTCACTTGTCATCCTAGGTCCAACTTTATAGATCCCTGAGCAGCCCTGCTCCAGGGCAGTGTCAATTCCTCCATAACATGTTTTCACAAGGGCATCTCCTTAACTCCTCTGTGGGCAGGAAAGACAGAAATCCAGAGCCAAGAACATAACAAAAGCCAAGTACACAGCAAAAGCCAAGTGCTCATGGTAAGATAGCTGGGTGAAGGACCCCCAACTCTCTTCTACAGGTAGCATCATGCTGAGGCCTCATCTCATGTCTAGGAAGAGCTACATTAATCTCTCAGGCCATTTCTGAGGCACTGGTTGATCTGTCCCATGAAACAGGAGATTCTCCTGGAGTCTCTCCTCAGAATCACCCTTCTGACAAATAGGAACAGGGATTGGTCAGACTCTCAGACACTGAGCAATGCAGGCAGAGCTCAGATCTCATCTCTGGGCCCAGGACCCCCAGGACACCCTGGCCCCACAGACTAAGTAGTGCTCTGTGGAGAACAGTGTCTTGTTTAACAAAGACAACCTGGGAAATGAGCATCTTGGCTCTGTTCACTGAAGTTGACAAAAAACAACAGGTCAAGGAAAGGACACACAGGGAATAGGCTCTGCATATTCTCATTGGTTGTAAACAACTTGTGACTGGTTAAACCTGGGAATTCAAAGAACTGAGAGGAGATAGTGAGACACCTGCCAAGAGGGAGAAAAGTAACAACAAGCTATATCTGGGACATGAAATCGCCTTGTGATTGGGGGATGAAAGGGGCCTTTCCTCAGGTTTGAGATACTATATAGTTGGAGAAATCTGTAATGAAGTTGATTCTGTACTTGCATGCAACAGGGTCTGTACTTTCAATACACCACTGTGCTCCTCTCTTGCTGACGTTGGGACTGGGGCTGGGCTCTGGGTCAAGGCTGACAAATGTCCCCTCCCACAATGCTAGTGCCTGCCCCCAGCCTGCTGTGCCTTAGGGAGCAGGGAAAGAAGCAGGACATGAACCCAGAGCTTCTGCAACCATTAGAGCTGTCCCTGGCCAGAGCACTACAGACAGGGCAGTGGGCAAAGCCATGAAGTGCCTGGCCATGGAGTGCTTACAGTGTAATGCTACAGAACAG